AGTAGATAGCAGTTCTATGGTGGAGGCAATACGTGACTTTGGTAGGTCGGTGTTTGCTATTGAAGAACATCATTTCTTCAAACATCGGCTCAAAAGATTTCATGAGTTGCCTTCAACCTCAAAGAGGTAAATTATGTTTATTAAAATTTCAATATATGTTTAATTCTATTTTATAGATCACAGTCACTTGGAGTTTCTAGAATTTGAGGCTTTGGAAGTCTCCTTAACTATGTAGAAGCTATGGCTCAACATATACAAGGTGAATCTTCCCCACAATACCAATATAGGAGGAGACATAAAAGAAATCAATATGTTGATGATGAGGCAGAAAAAAGTTAATTGCATCCTTACATAAAATGAAAAGCTTGTTATATATCAAATCAATAAAAGTGTCAGATGTAAGTGAAAGTGTCAATGTTAGTGAAAGTGTCAGATGTCAGTGTCAGTGTTAGATATCATAATTGCAAATTATCATTCTCACCCACACCATCACCTTGTAGCGCTTGTGTGTTGCCATCTCCTCCTTCAACATTTTTTAAACAATTGTATGTGATATGATAGCACCTTCTAGAACAAAGTATGTTACCTATAACTAATATCATTTTATTATATTTTTTTCTTTTAATAGTGACAATACTATATTATAGTAAAGTAATTCTAGATCTTACATTCCATTGTAGGGTGGCCTAAAAACCACATATTTTGCACTAGCCAATGCAATGTTTCCTAAGGGGATGTTGTTCCTCACCATGAAGCGATAATGGGTATGTGTTTGTAACTCATTCTTAAATCTATTGTACATCCACACGTGCACATTTTCCAAACCTGCCATTGGGCAATTCCTATAGTGCTTAAGAAAATTTTGTAAACCCATAGAGCCATTTGTCTTGTCCAAGAAAAAGTAGCATATTGGACACCAAATGTAATAGTGTTATGTGCTTTTAAGTAATCTTGTTATGTTAGAAATAAAATCTTGCAAAAACATATGGTATTACTCTTGAAGCATTGGAAGCAATCCCTCTCTAGTAGCAAGATTCAGAATTTTATATATAAGAAGCTTTAATTTAGCTTCACTAGAGCCCTTAGTAGAAAAAAGATTGTTATGTGGAGGTGAAGATGGAATGTTGGTAGAACTTAGGAATGGAGATGGAGATTGATATGAAATGCTAAGGGGCCAAGTAAGAGTAGTAGTGACTTTCCTTTGAGCCATTTCAATACAAACTTCCAAGGAACTCAAGGAGAACAAAAAAACTACAATGACTATAACTTTTCTAGATAGTTTATATATTAAGTTTAGTCTCATGAATGAGGTTTATTTATTATAACACTAATAAAACTCATATTCTTTAAATGTTAGTCTTGGAAATGGGGTTTCATAATTATAGCTTGCTTGTAAACATAAGAGCTTCTAGAATTTTAGATTATCGTGTATACACAGGCTCTATCATTATGATGAAATCCTACTTTACTCCACATATTTTTTTTTCTACACATGCTAAATGTCTAGGGAAATAGACTACAAGGAAATATAAACCACATTATAGTGGCAGAGCACATTGGCACACTACCATTCTCTCGTGTGAGATTGTCTTTCAATCTTGGAAATGTAGATAAAGTTGATTCTTTGATATGATATTACATTTGAGTCTATCGAAAGATTTCAATTTCTTTTATTATTATTCTCAAACATTTAATGAGGATTCATTGCAAAAATATACCTTGGTGTTATCATATGAGAGGATTGCAATATAGGTAGGCAACAGAGTTTTTAATATGAATTAATATGTAAATTACAAATGTCATGGAAAGTTTTATTGATTAGATTTCTTTATGCTTTCCACCATATTGTTTATTTCTTTATTTCTCTTACTCTAGACCATTGTTTCAGAAGTAATAGAAGCATTTTTATCAATTATGATAATGGTTTCCACATTCCCAAATAGGTAATAAAGACCAAGAGTGTAATATAAAGATTGTGGTAGTGAAACAAAATTAACATTCTTACATTCCTTTGCACTACAACTCTTGCTCATAAATCTTATATTTTCCTTGCTTCCCATCTTCTCAAGAACCCTAAAAAACTACAAAATACAGCTGTAAAAGTATTCAAAATATTAAGTAGTCAAATTAAAATAGCTGTAACAATAGTCATAATAAAATAATATAGCTTTATAAAAGATAGGTTCTCGTAAACTTTGTCTTTTTTAAACAATTTAATCTTATAGAAACTTTTAATTTAGATATTTACATATTTAAATATTTTAAAGTTTACTAGAACCTTCATTTCTTCAATTTAGATTTCCTTTATAAAACTTTTAGTTGACTATGTTAACTTAAGTTGACTTATGTTGAATTAAACTCAACTCATAAACTCAACTCAACTTTGGACCATCCCCCTATGGATGGAGAGGAACTTGGTGAGGACTAACAAGAGATATTGGGGAAAGTTATTCCTTATATCTCTAGGCATATTAAAGATGTTAAGGTGTGGTTTTGGGACAAGTGGTTTAAGATTACTAGTGAGACAAAGGTAAATGAACATGGCCTTAGCTTAATAGATTGATATATCAGTAGTTGTGGTGTTGATTATGGGATTGAACATGTGGAGCACTTGGACTAAGTGCAAAAGCTGAATAGCATAAATGTTATTCACAAGGTTAATAAGCTTCTAAGTCGAGAATAGAACTTATATAGATTGTGAGTGAGACTCTTCTAAATGGTTAAAAGTGTGGTTAAGTGATTAAAGTAAAATAGAAAATTTAGTCATTAGCAACTAGGCCAAATATACTTGGTTAAAAAAATACTTAAGAATTCTCTTTTATGCTAATTTGGCCAAGTATAAATGCTAAATTTAGTTTAGTAATACTTGAACAAGAAGGATTGATAAAGGGTTCAATTTCTTACTATTGTGGTAGTAAAAGAACAATATCAAAAAATACTTGTTAACAGGTAATTCTTAATATTTGTAGTCACATTTGTGACAAAGATTATATAATTTAGTAATAGTATAATTGTCTTCTAATCTTGACAAATTTCTATCCTCCTGTTTTTTGGCACATTCTTGCAAACAATAGAAGTAACTAAATATCCAAGCATTTTGAAATCCAAATAATAATATTATATTGTATATTGTATAATAATATATAAATAATATATTAAATAGAATTTCATAGAATTTTGTGCATTACTCTACAATGAGCATCTAATGCCATACTATTAACAGCTGAAATCACTCTCTCTAAGCTCTTCAGTCTTTGTTGAATTTGAACAATGAAAAAAGCTTATATCGATTGGAATTAGAAGAGGTGCCATAATGTTTTTTCAACTGAATTATGGAATATAGTAAGCAAGTCAATGAATTTGAGAAATTTTCATTTCAAATACAAAAAATAGGTATGCTAGGATGGATGAATGGTTATAGATGTCCATGTAACATGGCTATAGTCCCCATATAATGACCCATAATACCCATTAGATTCTAAGGAATATCCTTCAAGTTCTTAAGAATCTGTGAGAATATTCAACTTCATATACAAAAATATACATAAGAACCAATAAAGTGATGCCATATGGACGTTTCCATGTAACATCGGTTTAACACATCAAACCCAATGCCAATAGTATTAGCCATAAGCAATAAGGAAAAAGCTTCTTACCAAAGGAGAAGCTTCTTAGAAAACTATAGGAGTAGGGCCGTATCAAGATCTAAAGCTTTCCTAGAGATTGAAAAGAAACTAAATTAGAGAAAATAATTTTGCTAATATTTATCTCTCTTGTCCATATGCAACATTGACTTTGAGAGCCACACATAATCGGTAAAACCCTAAAATTCTAGGTCGGGGAACGCAACTTTGGCCGACAGCATTTGTTTTTTTCCCTTGAAGGTGACAATGCTTCTTTTCCTTTTGCGAGATTGGAAGATTATGAACGCGACGAGACGACGAAGACGAAGTCTCTCTTAGGGCTCACATGTTGCACGCGATGGACAACAGCAACGGTTTAAAAAAAATGCCGCCACAAGCAGACACGCACACCCTATACACAGCGCTATCAAGCGCCGCACGGTTCTCGCCCTTGTGTACTTGAAACTGCGCGCCGAAAGCAACCGCGCGCCACACTTGCTCCCGCGGGGCGCGCGGTTCAAACACTCTGGTCTTTTTACTGTGGGTGGCGTGGCGTGGCTGGTGAAATTCGATAATCACCCCCGTGGGGTGAATCTTAAATGCGGGTCAAAATGCTGGATTAACTCCAGGGTTACGGACCCTTCAATGCGGTTAGGGGCTAAACCAAAACTGAAACGCTGCGTGATTAATCTTTAATCCTCCAAAAGCAGCCATGATTTACCCCTCTCTCAGCGGTTAACCACCGCATTGAAATGGACTCTTTCGTGCATTGAAACAACCTTATAACGAGGACGAGAGCGAACGATGAGATCCCCTAAAAAACAAATGTTAGAATTAACCAGGCCAGCCATCAATCGTATCAAGCAGTTAGTTTTTTTTCCTTCTCTCACTTTTGCAGGGAAAATTGAAAGTGACAAACCATGAAAAATCCCTCGCGCATATTCCAAAGTCACCGACACATTACCACAGGCCTATATACCTGTAAATACTTACAAGCGTACAGCTCGAATTTACTCCCTTGGCTTTTACCCGGTTGCAGGTTCGAATCTCCCCGTATTCTAGGGCAAATGCCGGAGAGATTTTTACCATGGTCGTTACTTCGCGGCAAATTTTTGGACGCGGTGGGCGGGCGGGCTTGAGAATATCAAAACTGAAAATATTTGCCGTCGTGAAAAGTATTTGTTGTCTTATCTTGTATACTTCTACACAGCATCATGACAAAATCATGGTGGGGATGTAGACTTCAAGCCCGTCACCGTTAATGAGGTGGCAAGCAATCCGGCCGTCTATCCCCAAATGGTAAGAGATTGCGGATTTGAGACCGCCTTTTCAATCGCCTTGAATCCAGGGTTTTGGAATGTGTATGTGTGTTGGCATTTTAGGTATATTTCCTTGTTCTTCTTGTGGGGCGAGAAGAAGACCCTGATTTCCTCCTTCTCGCCCCTAATTCATCCTTCTTTCCCATCGCATTCTTGCTGCGCCACGGCGCTGTGTACTTTCTTGCTAGGTCGCGAGAGAGAAAGCTCCATTCTCCATGCGCTCTTCCTCTGGAATGCTTCTCTCTTTTCCTCCGATGAGCTGAAATCTCCGGATCGTCGCTTTTCTCTCTTTTTTACTCTCGAGATCGCTCGGCAAAGTGCCATGGAGTGTCAGGACGGAGGCCTGTTTTGCACCGAGGAGATGATCGGCAGCCCCTGGAGCGGCGACTCTGCCGAGGTTTTGGACGAAAGCCCCGACAATGCCGATCTTGCGGCCCTCACAGATTTCCCCCCAAGAGACGATGCGGCTCTCCAGAGCGTTGTTTCGAGAGAAAGGAGCCAGACGCTCGGCGATGGATATCTTCTTGCGCTGCAGCGCGATGCGTCTGTGCTGCACGCTAGGGCCGTGGCCGTGAATTGGATGCTCAAGGTAAAGCAATGTGGATTCAAATCCATCTTTTTTTCTTCTCCTCATTCCAGAAAGCTCCAGGTTCGCAATGTCTATGCTTTCAGCCCCATGACGGCCGCGCTGGCCTCGAGCTACTTAGATCGGTATCTATCCAGGCATCTTCCAAAGGTAGAATCGCAAAAAAATCCTTTCTTGCTCCATCTGTTGATCGTTTCTCTCCTTCTTTCCAGTCGCTCAAGGCTTGGGCGATACAACTTCTCTCCATTGCCTGCATTTCTCTTGCCGCGAAGATGGAAGAGATCGTCGTGCCTTGTCTGCCAGATTTGCAAGTAAAGTTTTTTCTTCGCGTTTCTCCTCTTTTGGATCTAAGGTTCCCCTTCCAGGTCGAGGGGCTGGAGCACGTCTTCGAGGCGAAAACAATCCAAAGAATGGAGCTGGTGGTGCTGAAAACGCTGGACTGGCGCATGTGTGGTGTGACAGCGTTCGAATACGTGGATGATCTGCTCTACAGGCTCGATATCTCCAAGCATCTCAAGGCATCGATTCTGGCACGAATTACTGAGCTCATTCTGGGGACCCTCTCAGGTGAGAGTGCGTCTCTTCTTTTTTGTTTCGACGTTTGAGCGTAACGTTTGTGTTGTATGACCGTGTCTTTGCTCTCTCAGAGCCCGAGTTCTTGGTGTTCCGGCCATCGGCGATCGCTCTTGCGGCATTTAGCTGCGCGCTGGATGAGATTGTACCCCTCAAGGCCGCGACGTATCAACGCGTGCTGCTCATGGCGCTCCCAACGGACCAGGTTGGTGGTACAAAAGCTAAAGCTTGTCTTTTTACGAGGCTGGAATACCTGACCCCGCTTGCTGGTTGATAGGCAACTCTACACCAGTGCTACAGGCTGATCGAGGACCTCATCATCGATCCAGTGTGCCCCGGGGTGTCACTCGGCCAGACCTTTGGAAGCTCCAAGTCGCCACCTAGTCCGATGACGGTGATCGACCTCTACCAGGCGGGCGGCGGCGGCAGCAGCAGCAGCATGGATTGGTGCGGGAGCCAAGTGAATCTCAAAAAGAGGAGAATTGAAGTGGAGAGCCAGTCGGTGAGGAAGAAGCTATCGTCGTCAATGGCGAACAGCGGTGATCATTCGGTGTGGGATCTCTTCTAAAAGCGGAAGCAAGAGGAGAGGTATTACTATTAGTACTGGCAGCGGGTCCAGGCGGAGCTCCATCCAGTCCAACAGCAGTTTGGATCGGCCAGTTGGTCTAGCAAGCAGCAGCAGCAGCAGCAAATTCCAGCAGTGGTTTTCCTGGACTACGGCCGATCAGACGGGGGGGGATAATTAAGGAGCACTACGCTACTAGTTTTTAGAGCTGCAGGTTGCGCATTGATGCCGGGTTTTTGTCTCCACTCCAACCGAGCTGCTCCTCCTCCGGCGGGTGGGCCTTATCTGTGGCACGATTTATAGAAGAAACTCCTGGGGGGTCAGAGCATGGAGATCAGAGAAGAAATAGCAGCAAAGCAAGAGACAACAAGAGCTTTGATTGCGCATTCGATCCGGCGAAACAAGTAAGTAGTAAAAAAGAAAGTTGGTTTTTTTTTTTCTACTTTTTTTTTCTTTCTTCTCGTGAGAGAGAGAGAGAGTGAGAAAGAGAGTGAGAGTGAGAGGAAAGGAGGCTTTCATCTCTTGGGACAGTCAACAGGAGGAAGCAGCAGGCTGTGCTCTTTGTTGCAGTTCAGTGCGGCAGGGAGGGTGTGCTTTGGATTGCTTTGGGCTTTGAATAGATCTGGTCTGGTGATTGGTAGAGGCTTGGCAGGCCAGACTAACTCTTAAATATTTTTCTAATGGGAACGAACGAATGCTTCAAAAAAGAAAAAGAAAAGAAGAAAAATGAGAAAAATGAGAGTTAATCTTTATTAATCTACTAGTTAATCGCTTCTCATTAACAAGCTCGGAGTCAATATTTCTTTGTCTTTCTTTAAGGTGGCGCTTTACTTGTTATCAACGAACTTGTAGACAAGTTTTCCTGTGATTGATGCTGTATAATAGATTATTCTGGGCAATAGGCCATGATGAAATGGAGAAATGAATGGCATGGGCTAAGTATTTGAGAGGAGCATGAGTGCTTCTTGGTTGAAACCGCGGAGCCGGAGCAGGCGAGTCGGTCGTTTTCCCGAGAATTAACAGTTTTTTGTGTGGGATTTGGGGTTGAGACGAACGAGGCCGAGGTGTTTTCTCAAGAATCAAGGCCGGCTGCTACAAAGTGCACTTGCTCCTGCTCTTGCTACAGCTCTCGCTCAGAAGATTTCTATCATTTTAAGCCAAAGCTTGTCAACTAAGCAATGGGAGGACTGCTTTTCTGTACCACCTTTCCTTCCCTCCAATTGAACATGTTGAACCTGTGTTTTGAAATCGGCTACAAAAAGTCTGCCTAGGGTGCAGACAGGTGTCTTTGTGTATGTGTGTGTGTGCCACCCTTGTGACAGAGGGGGAGGGCATGGCATGGCATTCTTGACATTACAACATGGTACAGGGCAGGGGATTTGCAAAAATCCATTGATTGTACTTGACTGAATGTACTCCTGTTTCCCGCTTCTTGCCTCTGTTGCAAAGTTGTTTGTAATTGCAAAATGCATGCTTGGGTGCAGTAGCAGGGGAGGGGAGGCTGTTGAAAGTGTCCCTCCCCTCCCTCCCCCTCTCAGACTAAACACATAGATTGAAGCCCACCACCTTTTTTTCCACACACATATGTTTTGTTTTTGGAAAGCCCACCTTCCCTCCATAGCCTTCCCTCCATTGCCTTCCAGCTATGGAAAGGGTACAAACAGTAAACCAGCAATCTCCCTGGAGGACTTTTCTAACTTTTGTTCTTTACCCCTCTCTCCTTTTCCAGAGAGCCAAGGCGAAACAAAGCAGGCTTTCACAGAAGCCCGGATGGTGACTCTGGGTGTGATCTCTCTTCGTTTCGATCTTCCAAATTGGAGGTTTGCTTGCTTGGCATGATAGCTCTTCTCTTGTGTGACCTTAAAGAAGAACCCCAGCAAAACAAAACAAGACGCACACACACACACACACACACAACTCAAGTTTTTTTATATACACACAAAACCACACACGAAACAAAACAGAGGCATCGCACCGGGCCGAAGGGGGAACACAAAAAAGAAATGCCGCAGCGAATCTAATGCCGATGGCCTCCCATGATTCGTTTGATCGGAGATGGGAGAAAGCGCTGAAACTATAAAAACAAGTGAAAGCTGGGTCTCTGTTTACTCTTTTTCTTTGTGGGTTTGCATGCCTGATTGTGACAATCCTCATGTCTGACTCTTGCTCTTACACGGATAAAAAACTCCAAATCTTTGCCTGCTGCTGGCTGACTGCATAGATTTGTATGTGAAAAATCTTATTTTTCTCTTCTAGAACTGCGAAGAATTGGAGGTGAAGTTTAGCTGGACTGGATTCCTCTACACAACCGAGACGACCATGATGGTGGTGGAGACAGTTTATATTCTAAGGACACGTACGGACGGTGGATCGAGCGCGGGGTCAGTCCCCGTACGAACGCTGTGTTCTCAAAGGTCAAGCCGAAAGCTTGCGCTGGACTTTAATGCCAAAGGCGCAGTGCTGCGATGGAGACCTCGCCAGCTTTTTCTTTTTTCTTTCTTTCTTCTTCCTTCTCTCTTCTTCGCTTTGTTCATCGTGACTGTTTTGGGAATCTATCCAAGGCTGGATTTGTCTTAAGCACATCGCCTTGTCGGGCTGCAAATCCAGATCCAGATCACTCACAACTTACGAGCAACTTAGAGAGCTACTTACGCTTTGGTGTGTTTTGGGTCTCTCTCTCGAGCGTCCAAAGCGGACAAGGGGACGCTTCGGGTGTTGTTTCCTCCCGGACACGCACGTTCGCTTGCTTGTTTTGTTTGTCTTCTTGTCCTATTGACTGTCTGTCTCGTGATCATTTGGAAACTTCAGGAAATTACTTACTTGGTGTGGAAACAAGTTGGCACAAGGCATGTTTCTTTCCCAGGGCGCGCATTAACGCGAGATCCGGCCGTCAAGGCCCTCGATATCGTCCCATGATTCCTTTAAGAGGAGGAAAGCGTCACAATATGTCCAATTACTCGTTCCAAGACCAAGTCTCCTGTTCTTACAGTTTTTATGGTTCTCATATCGTCAAGTCGCGACTCGGCCTTGCAGCGTGATCACTGTAGAAAACGTCATTTGAAAACGCATGATCTACCAACACAAGCAGCTTCCTTACCACCTTCCATTGAAAGCCTGAGATGAAATTAAGAACAGTCGTTTCCAGACTTTTGCGAGACCTGCTAGCCAACGTGAAAGTAAAACGCTTGTTAGCATCTGGAAACGCACGACCTTTCTCAAATGCGAAGCACTTACCTCTTAACTTTGTCACCGAAGTCCAAGAAACGAAGCCTCTGTCGACGAATTCTAGCTCTGTTTATAACGCAGCGTGCTTGCAACACCCTCCAAACTATCAATCACTACACGCGGGCAGTTTTCAACTTCCAGAACATTCAGCTTTGGACTTCTGCCAGCAAGAGAGTTAAATCCTGTCCCTGTGATCCCACTGCACCGGCAAAGCCTCAGCTTCCTCAGCTTTGAGCATGCCAAACCAGATATGCCTTTGTCTCCCACTTGACCACACACCACCAGTTCCAGAGTCTCCAATGATCCCGAAGAGCAAACAGCCTCCATGCCTTCGTCGTTGAAACATCCCACGTTCTCCAGTACGAGCTCTTTCAGGAAACAGCACCCTTGAATCACAAGTGCCAGGCCTGCCACAGTGACAAAGTGAAACTCCCCACTGCTGAAGCCAATGCATGCCTTCTCCAAGAACACACAGTGCGTCGCTAGCGCACAGAAGCTTGCGTCCGTGATCCTTGTTGATCCTTCGAAAAGTGACGAGAGCCTGAGTGTCAAAGACTTGAGTTGCGAGCAAGTTTCCGCTAGAGCAATCAGCTGCTCGTCCCTCAGGCCCAAACACATGTTGAGTTCCACGTCCACCAGCGCGCTGCTGCATCTGGCGAGAACCGACGATAATCCTCTTCGCGGAGTGACCACACAGTTCGTAAGAACCAAAAGCTGGAGAGACTCAGAGTTGACGTCGATCCCGCAAACTCCAGCATTTCCAAACTCCTTGAGGAAGCGATAGTTGCTACCATCAACCTCAAACACGAGCCTGCGAAGGCTACTCCATCCCCAGTCAAGGCCCGCAAGGTCGAGCTCTCCAACACCTCGACAGTTGCGTATAAACAAATTCTCGAGCCTTCCCTCCGCTCCCAGATGCTCTAGCCACTCCACCCTGTCGACATGCATGCAGCGATCCAGCTCTAGCTCCTTGATCTTACTGCAGCAAGTCACCAGCGAAAGCATCCCGATACCACTTATCCGCGGGATGAAGTTGAGCGTCAGAACCTCCAAGTTGCTGCTCCTTCCCAGATTCCCAAGCCCGGTATCTGTGATGAAGCAGCAGTAACTCAGCTTGAGAGTCGTGAGAAGCCGGCAATTCTCCGAGAGAAGAGCCAGGCCTTGATCATCCAGCTGCCTTCCCTGGTTGGACATCCATCCCAAGTAAGAAATCTCCACACTCACCAAGTTGGAAAACCTCTTGCACAGTCGAACCAAGGCCTCGTCAACCGGATGCAAGCCACAGCCCAGCCTCAAAGACCATCTCTGGAGTCGTTCTACATGGTGGCAGCGCTTGCAAGAGAGAGCCAGAGAATTCCTGTCCGCCGTGCTGGTGATGCGGCTAAAAACGTGAGACAAAACCTCGTCTGGCAATGCGTCCATGACATTCCTGGCCTTGGTGATTTTCTTTGTGTGATCTTCGCAGTGCCAGGAAGAAATCTACCAAAAACTTCTTCCAGCGCTTTGAAGTTCTTCACTACCAGTGGACTCCACTCTCACGGCCTTACCACTGCTGTGCTGCTCTATAGACCTGAATTCCTTGCTCTATCCATCTTCTCAAGGCCTACATTCTCCCATGCGAGCTACCCTCCCGAGATTTCCAGCCATCGTACCTGTGGAATCGCGCAGCTCCAGCGCCATGCAGACGCTCCCAAGCGCATCAGCCCTAGAAATTTCGAGAACGAAGAATTCAGTGGGATCGAACCTCGGACCTCTTCTCTCCAAGAGCAGTTATCCACGGCATAGAAAATCCGCCTGAATCCAGACCGTCAGTCGCCACACGCTTTCCGTAAGCTCCGAGCACGGCAGCCGCTGGATGAGTAGCGATTCCGCCAGGGAAGATTTCCCTCCCCGCTCACGCCGTGAACGAAGGTTCCTGCCAGGCAAGGGCAGAGCGAGCTAGGCGCGCTCGATGGATCTGGCTCGGCGGACGCACATTGACGAGGCGCTGTCGATTCCTCGGTTCCGGGAGCTAGGTTTTGGGCGAATTGTGCTGGATCGGTGAGCTCGTCCGTCTCCATATGTCCGGCTTCTCCTTCTTCGTGTTCGCGCTGTGCTTCTTAGTGAGATTTCTCCGAGCTCTCTTCGCGATCGACGTTGTAAATTTAGCTCATTCCTTCCTTGTGGACTGAGAAGAAAGGGCGAAGAATTCTTTGATGGGAAGCGCTTCTTCCAAGAGCAGCACCAGCACTTACTATGCCGAGCCATCGCCCAGATCGTCGTCAAACGAGCCGTCGCCGAGAGGTCTTCCAAAGTCGCTGGATAGGAGGTTCTCCAGCAAATATTCTCACATTGGCGACCAATTCGGCACGATAGAGCAGGCATGCCAAACTCTCTTTTTCCTTCTTGTCAGTGAACAGTGGCTTCCTTTTCATTCTTCCAGGTCCAGGAGGCCCTACACAAAGCTGGCCTGGAATCCTCCAATCTTATCGTGGGTATCGATTTCACGAAAAGCAACGAATGGACAGGTATCACAAAGTAGAGCTAGAGCTAGATAATGATTTTCAGTGATTGTTTGAGGATTGCAACCTTTCCTTGCAGGAAAGCGTACTTTCAACGGGAGGAGCTTGCATGCTCTTGGAGACCACCAAAATCCATACGAGCAGGCGATTTCCATCATTGGACGCACCCTCTCGAAGTTCGACGAGGACAATTTGATTCCATGCTTTGGCTTTGGAGATGGTAAGTTTGTTTTCATATGAACTAGAACTTGGCAAAGTTTGTAAAAAAAAAACTCTTTGCTCGCAGCCTCGACTCACGACGAGCACGTCTTTGGCTTCTATCCGGAGCAAAGGCCGTGCCAAGGATTTGAGGAAGCTCTCTCGCGATACAGAGAGATTGCACCGAATGTCCGCCTCGCAGGTTCTTTTATTCTTGTGGGACGGTCAGCACGTAGTTTTTGCTTATATTCTCTGCGCAGGCCCAACATCTTTCGCACCAATCATTGAAGCTGCAATGGACATTGTTGAGCAAAGTGGAGGCCAGTATCATGTCCTACTTATCATCGCCGATGGCCAGGTAACTACGTTTGTGGGATTATTATATAGTCCTATGCGTGCTGATGAGTCTGAATGGACAGGTAACCAGGAGTGTTGATGTAGAAAATGGAGCACTGAGCCCTCAAGAGCAGAGTACAGTGGACGCGATCGTTGCAGCCAGGTCAATGCCTTCTTGTTTTCCGCGAAAAACTCAACTTGGTGCTTGCTTGCGCAGTAATCTTCCGTTGTCTATAGTTCTTGTTGGTGTTGGAGATGGGCCATGGGACATGATGCGACAGTTTGACGATAACATTCCTCAGCGATTGTTTGACAACTTCCAAGTATTCTCGCTTTCTATGTTGTTTCTAGCGCGACTGACTTAATCTCTCTTGTCGTGCAGTTTGTGAACTTCTCGGAAATTATGTCCAAGGGTGCTCAGAGGGAAGCATCCTTCGCGCTGCAGGCGCTAATGGAAATCCCGGCGCAGTACAGGGCGACAATGGAGCTCGAAATCCTGGGGTACGTCTTCCGCTTTACCGATTCTCCCGTTTAGCTTGTCTGTAACATTCTTATCAGGCAAACAACAGGAAGCTACGCTGTGAAGAAGCCACTATCACCCCCACCATCGGTGTTGCGAGCTGACGCCGGGCGATCGAACAGCTCGGCTTATAGTCGCCCGCCAGCGGCACCACCAACACCGCCACAAGCAGCAGCAAACTATGAGCACCAGGTAAGACTTTGGATCTTTCACGCAACTGTTGCTGGCATAGAAGTCACGAGCTTGGTGGTCTGTGTTGGTCCCAGCTTTGTCCCATTTGTTTGAGCGAGAGAAAGGACCTAGCTTTCGGCTGTGGCCACCAGGTGGGGCGATTCAAGTTGCTCTTTCTCTGCGCTATATCGACCTTGACGTATGTGTTTTTCAATGCAGACGTGTAGAGACTGTGGAAAAAGCTTGGCGAATTGCCCGATCTGTCGCCAAAGAATCACAACACGAATTCGTCTCTACTGACGATCCCTCTCGCGCGAAAAGAAAATTGTAAATTTTTTTTAACAGTGTTTTCCGGTCGACCGTTAACGCTAAAGGTCGAATATCCCGCCTTTCAAAAATATCTCCTGTACTTAAAAAGGGCGAATAAAATAACTGAAAAGGGTGTCCTGGGCCGTTGGCTGGCTCCTGGCCGTCCATCTACTTATTTAGAGGTTTTTGGAATGGCGCTTGAGATGGCGCTGGAAGGTTCTTGTTGTGCGCACGGCGGCGGCGGCGTGGAGACCAGGCAAAGGGCGGTGACCGGCCGCCGGGAACCTGAGGTAAAGGAGCTATAAAGATCGATCGGGGGCGGTGTCGATCGAGAGAGCGAAGCGGCGGCGAGATCGATCGATCTTTAGGTTGCGAGGGCAGCGGATCGATCGATTCCTAGGTTCTTGGAGGGGCGCGGGGGGAAAGATTTTAGGTCAGGCAGAGAGCGCGAGCGCGGATCTCTCTAGATGCCGAGCTCGGATGTGTCGTCGGATGGGTCGGAGCTGGCTGCATTGCTCGGCGATGGCGGCAAGGGGTCGCCCAAGGTGATCCCGCCGCCCAATTTCGGCATGGTGGACTGGGGCATCTACAGATCGTCCTACCCCACGGCGGAGAACCTCCCCTTCCTCAAGAAGCTGCGCCTGCGCTCCATCGTCTACCTCTGCCCGGAGCCCTACCTCAACCACGAGTTCGTGGCGGAGAACAAGATCAAGCTCTTCCAGTTTGGGATCGAGGGCAAGTGCGAGCCCGCGGTGGAGATCCCCGAGGGCGTGATCCGGGACGCGCTGCGGGTGGTGCTGGACGTGGAGAATTACCCGCTGCTCATCCACTGCAACCGGGGCAAGCACCGCACGGGGGTCCTGGTGGGCTGCTACCGCAAGGTCCACAAGTGGTCGCTGGCGTCCATCCTGGACGAGTACGATCGCTACGCGGGCGCCAAGGCCAGGCTCCGGGACAAGCAGTTCGTGGAGGCGTTTGATGCGTCGCGGATGCAGCGCAAGGGGCAGATCTGGAAGGCGATCAGCTGGTGGCTGCGGGCGTTTTGCGACGGGCAGACGCTGCAGGAGCTCAAGTCGCTCGATTCGCGGGAGAGGGAGATCGAGCGGGCGCACGGTCACAACTGCCGGAACTCGTGCTGAAAGTTTTGAGCTCGAGTTTGCTCGAGCACTCCAGCAAGAGACGTCTTGTCCACTTGGCAGTAGGCGGGGTTAGGGTTAGGGCAAAGCCCTTTTCTTACCTTTTGTAAAAAGTTTAATATTAGGGCTGGGGTAGTGGTGCCCTAACCCTAACACTGATATATAAACGACCCGTTTTTTCAAAACAAGATTAGGGTTTTGGGCAAATGAATGAGGAGGTATGGACGGAGGCTCTTGTCCTCCTGGGCAAATGCGGCGGTGGAGGAGCGGTGGCAGCAGGCGCTGGAGGCTGCGGATTCATCCAAGTATGCCGCGGTGCTGCGGGAGTGTGGCGTCGCCGGGGATCTGGCGCGCGGCAAGCACGCCCACGCGCACCTCCTCAAGAGCGGCTACTCGGGCGATGCGCTGCTGGGCAACATCGCCGTCCAGATGTACGCGCGGTGCGGCAGCGTCGAGGACGCGGCCGCGGTGTTTGATTCGTGGGCTTTCTGGAACGCCCACTCGTGGGCGGCGATGATCGCAGCAAATGCCCGGCTGGGGCATTTCTCCGCGTCGATTTGCCTCTTCCGGAGCATGGACCTCGAGGGCGTTCGCGCGAATCGATCGGCGATCCTCGCGCTGCTGGGCGCGTGCTCGAAGGTTGGGGGAGGATTGGGGTTGCGGTGTGGGCGGGAAGCCCACGTACGGATGGTGGCCATGGGGGTCCGAGTGGACGAGCTGGCGGGAAATATTTTGATCGCCATGTACGGCAAGTGTGGCAGCACGGTGATGGCGAGGGAGGTTTTCGATGTTATGGAGGCTAGGGATTTGATTTCTTGGAATTCTATGATCGGGGCTTACGCGCAGAACGGGCATGGGAGGGAATCGCTGGCGCTGTTCCACCAGATGATCGTTTCCGGACGCCAAGATCAGGGTTGCGGCATCCGGGATGATCAAGATCGCGAATCTGTCGCTCAAGATTGCTCCAATCCGCCAGTGATTCCCAATGAGATCACGTATGTGACCGTGCTTGGGGCTTGTTCGAGCGTCAAGGATGTGGAAGAGGGAAGAAAGATTCACGGCAGTGTCTTGCAACGATTTGGGGGCAAATTCTCGCAAGAGATCGGGAACACGCTCGTCCACATGTATTGCAAGTGCGGCAGCGCGGAGGAGGCTCGATCGGTCTTTGATAATCTGGTGTGGCGGCACCCGATTACGTGCTCCACGCTCATGGGGATCTACATCCAGCAGGGAAATCCGGGCGAGGCAATGCAGATCTGCGAAGGATGGG